AATAAATAAATAAATAAATAAATAAATAAATGAATGAATGAATGAATGAAATAAAAATTCAAAATAAAAACATATTAATCTTTCCTTTTGTGTTTTCTTCCCTGAATGAACAGTTACAGGAAATGTTTTAAAAGAATGACAACAGTATATAGGCATAGCACTTAAATCCTAACTTTTCAGGAGAAAAAGAATTATGATACACAGCAGTTAGTAAAGAAACATAAAAAAAGCTTTAAAAAATGTGTAGGAAGACATTTTAGGCTAAGGAGTCTGACTAAAAATATAAGTGGGATAAAGTAACGTATGTCTGACAACAGCAGTCCATATTTGTTATAGTTTTGTGCCTGTTTTGGACTATCAGTGGAAAAAAAAACTTTAAGAGGTACAGTGTGTCCAGGCTTAAAGTCAAGCTAAGCAATTTGCGATTTATTAGTTAGAAAACAAAACTGAAGGGCCTCTCTTTATGCTGAAATAATACAGATAAGGAGATGTTTTAAAAAGCAAAGAGTATGGAGGCTGGAGAGATGGCTCAGTGGTTAAGAGTACTGACTGCTCTGGCAGAGGACCTGGGTTCAGTTCCCAGCACCCAAAGGTAGCTAACAACTGTCTATAACTCCTGTTCCAGGGGATCTTATGCCCCATCTGGCCTCCACAGGCATTGATTGTACATGGAGCACATTCATGCATATGGGCAAACACTCATATACATAAAATAAAAATAAATCAAAGGGAAAAAATTTTTTGAGACAGGGTCTCCCTGTAGCCCCAGCTCACCTGGAACTCACTATGTAGACCAGGCTGGCCTTGAACTCACAGAGAGCCATCTGCCTCTGCCCCCAGAGTACTGGGATTAAAGGGGTGCGCCACCACGCCTGGCAGAAATTTTTTTTTTTTAATTAACAGTATGAAGAAATGTAATAAAAACCTAAAGTAAGGGAAGCTGGTTCAAATGTTAATGCAATAAAATAACAAGGGATCCTAGGTAACTAAAGTACACTACAGGAAGCAGGGAATACCCCTCCTAGCCTTTCTCAAGAGTCTCTGGTTTAATTGAGAAGAAAGATAAATTTAGCTTCTCCAATTGAAAATCAGTGAAAAATAATTTCTAATTGCTGACCCATTAATAGATAAATTTCAAATATACACACATTAAAAACAATACCACCACTGAAAAACTATTCAATAAGAAGTTATATCTTAATAATTTCAGTTTACTGATGGACTTGAAATTTTTAAAAAATAACTCCACATTAAAATTTTTTAAAGTAACTCCAAATTACCAAAGTAATTCTAACACTTTGAGACATAAAGACACGTTTCAAAATTCTACTGGGGCTGGGGAGATGGTTTAATTGGTAAAGTGCTTGCATGTAAGCATGAGAACCCGAGTAAAAAGCACATGTCTATAATCCTAGTACTGAAGAGTTAAAGATAGGAGGAGCCCTGATGCTTTGCTGGCCAGCCAAGCTAGTAAATCAGTCACCTCCAGGTTCACTGAGAGACCCTGTCTCAAAAAATAAGGTGGACAGACTGGAAATGGGGCTTAGCAGTTAAGAGCACTGGCTGGTCTTGCAGAGGGCCCAGGTTTGGTTCTCAGCATCCATACAGCAGCTAACAATCAATCATAAGTCCAGTTGCAGGAAATCTAATGCCCTCTTATAGCCTCCATAGGCATTTCACCCATGGGTGTACTTACATACACATATGCAAAACATAATTAAAAAATTTTAAAATATGGTGAAAAAATATTATTTAAAAATAAAATAATGAGGGGGCTGGAGAGACAGCTCAGTGGCTAAGAACACTGGTTGTTCTTGCAGAAGACCCAGGTTTGAATCCCAGCACCGACATGGCAGCTAACAACTATCTCTAACTCCAGTCCCAGGGGATTTGACAGCTTCTTCTGACCTCTGCAGGCACTGCACGACATGGGCACACTTACCTACATGCAGGCAATACACACATACACATAAAATAAATAAAATATTTTTAAAAATTAATAAGGAGGAGAAAGATTGAGGAAGACACCTAATGTTAACTTCTGGCTTCTATAAGCATATGCACACACACACACACACACATATACTTATACACACCTATGTGCACATTCAAACACCCACCACACATACATACATACACATCAAAAGTTACTGTTTTATGATTAATTTCAGTTACAATACCTGTTTTCAATTATAAGATAGTGAAAGATAGCGGCAGTTTCCTTAGGCTGCATGTGGATGAGCGGTAGCAAGGCTACGATTACATGGCTGAGCAGAGGGCCTAGGTAAACATGATCCAGGCACCGAACAAAGCAGTCCCATGCTCTGTGTGAAAAAAGTCACACATTTTAATTATGAACTGGTAGTGATATATACATATAAGAGAATAAAAGGCAGCTTTAAAAAAATGATATAAAGATCATAAAAGATTTCCAAGTTACTTTAAGTCAGGAAAATTTAAAAAAAGAGGCGAAAAGAGTATTTTGGGGCAGGATCAATACAAAATATGTATGTATATATTTATACATTAGCTTACATGAACAATCCATGAATAATGATAATACAACTCCAAGACTTTTCAACTTCACAGTGGTCCAAATGTGCACCCATTTAGAAGAAATTGTTTTGTTTTTTTGGTCTTTTTGAGACAGGGTCTCCCTGTATCCCCAGCTGTCCTGGAGCTATGTAGACCAGGCTGCCTTGAACTCACAGAGGTCCACCTGCCTCTGCCTCCCGAGTAGAAGAAATTGTATTTTAAGGCTAGATCTGGTCAGGCACATCTTTAATCTCAGCACTTGGGAATAAAGGCAGGAGGATCAGGAGTTCAAGTTGATCTGCTACACAGTGAGTTCGAGGACAGACTGGGCTATGTGAAACTGTCAAATGAAAAAATGCAACATTAAAAAAATTGCATTTTGGGGCTCGGCAGTTAAGATCACTGGCTGCTCTTATAGAGTACCCAGGTTGAATTCCCAGCACCCACATGGCACCTAACAACTGTCTGTAACTCCAGTCCCAGGAGATCCGACAACCTCCTCTGACCCCCACAGGCACTGCACAACATGGTGCACTTACATACATGCAGGCAATACACACATACATATAAAATAAAAATAATAAATAAATTTTTTTTTTAATCTAGTTTCAGGTCAGGCATGGTGGTGAACGCCTCAGCATTTAGGAGGCTGAGCAGGAAGACTGTTGAATTCTAGGATGGCCTGGGCCACACAGCAAGACAAGAACAACAAAGTTTCAACTTGCAATATTTTCAATTTAATAATGAGTTCACAATGAATTACAGTCTCTAACCACTCCTGCAAGTGTAGGACTACCTATGCTTTTAAAAAGAGGGTAAACTGGGCCTGGTGGTGCACACCTGAAATACCACCACTTAGAAAGTACAGACAGAAAGATCAGGAGTTCAAGGTCATCCTCAGCTACATATCAAATTGAGTTCGAGGCCAGTCTGAACTACATAACAACGTTTTTTTGTGGGGGGGTTTTGTTGTTTTTTTTTTTTTTTTTTTTTGGTCTTTTTGAGACAGGGTCTCCCTGTAGCCCCAGCTGGCCTGGAACTCACTATGGACCAGGCTGCCCTTGAACTCACAGAGACCTGCCTGCCTCTGCCTCCCCAGTGCTGGGATTAAAGGCATGCGCCACCACACCCGGCTAATATCCTACTTTTAAAAAAAAGGAAAATAGGCTTTACTTCCCTGGACTGCACAGCCTCCCGTGTCCTGGTCCCAGCACCTTCCCTGGATAAGACCAGCCAGCCCAGTGCATTTTGACTCCCCCAGCCTCTTTCACCCTCCCAGCTGCCCGACCGAGTCTCTCCTCCTAGGCTGGGTACAGGTCCATTTCTTGGCTTGCACCCCGCATGGGGGGGGGGCTAATCTCTCGGCCTAGAGCTGCTACTGCTTCCTGATCCTGTGCATCCGGACCAACCCATTTCCTCCCTACCATCCCCAGGAACTCTCTGGGCCTGGGGTCCTGCTTCACCTCCCTTTACTTCCCTGGGCTGCACAGCCTCTGGGTGGCATGGTGCCAGCACCATTCCTGGTCCCTAGGAGCCCTCTGGAACAGGTCCCGCCCTCATATCCCTTTGCTTCCTGGGCTGCACAGCCTCCAGTGTCCTGGTACCTGCACCTTCCCTGGTTAAGTCCAGCAGGCTCAGCGCACTTTCACTCCCCCAGCCTCTTTCATCCTCCCAGCTCCCCTGCAGTCTCTCCTCCTAGGCTGGGTACAGGCCCATTTCTTGTCTTGGCACCCCAGACACCGGGGCGAGCCTCTTGGCACACAGCCACCACTGCTTCCTGATCCTTTGCATTGGGACCAACCCATTTCCACCCTGCGGACCCCAGGAACCCTCTAGGCCTGGTCCATCCCTCACCTCTCTTTACTTTCCCTGGTGGCACAGCCACCAGCTTCCTGAAAACAACATCTATCCTGGGCCCTTCTCCCAGGCCAGTCCAGACCCCAAACTCTTGAGGGCAGCATCTTTCCTGGAGGGACCCATATCTTAGGAGAAAGCCTAATTATCATCTGAGCCTCATCTCACTTGGGACTCTGTGGGAATTCCTGAAGACAAAAACAATTAGGCCACTCCAATATAAAATCAAAAGAAAGAACCTGAAGTCTAGATCAACCAGTTTTTCATGCCCAACAAGTAAAGCACAAAGGCACATGAAGTTTACAAAAAGAACCAGATCTAAACTCAACAAAGGAAGGCTTGAGTCTCACACAAGAGTCAGAAACTATGAAGGAAATTCACATGTCAAAGTCACAAAGAAAAAATAATAACATGAAAAACCAAAATAATGTATCCACACCAAGTACCAATAGTCCTCTAGAGGAGTACAATGAGAACTCCTTAGCGATAACACAAGACATGGAACTCAAAACAATTATAAACATGATAAAAGAATTGAGTGGATTTAAAGAACACACAAAGAAATCAAAGAACTGAAGGAAGATAGGGATAAACTTCTGAATAAATTCAGAAGAGTTAGAAATACTGAAGAATACTCAGGCTGAAATGAAGAAGGAAGTGAAACACTCAGTAAGCCAAACAGAAATGACAGGAGAAAGCCTCACCAACAGGATGAACGAAATGGAAAACAGAGTATCAAGCCTGGAAGATAAAGTTGGCGAATTAGACCACTCAAACAAAGATTATGAAAAATTTAAAAAATCATAAGAATTGAATATGCAGGAATTGTGTGACACCATGAAAAGACTAAACTAATGAATCACAGGCATACAGGAAGAAGAATCTCAGGAAAACAGTGTGGA